CTTACTCCACGAATATGTAATGATAACGAATTTACAAACATAGAAGAAATTAATAGTAAATTAGACAACTTTCCAGTGGCATATTAGACCATAAGCTTTGCCTATGCATTGAGAGTTGACATTAATATAATACCTCACGTACTATAAGAAAAAAACGGTAGCCTCAACATGGACGACTGTGTTAAGCTAATTTTTCAAGTAGACTGGGAACATTGGCGATAGGTGAAGATCCTAATAACCAGCCAGTTTGAACATTTTTTATATATATTTGAGAAGATAGCTCGGAATACATTTCCGTGCAAACGAGTTTCGATCAAACAATAATGGAAGCCAGCGCAATCTGAAGACCTCCTAAAAATGAAAAAAAAAGATTGACTTATTACATGGCGCGTTTAAACAAACAAAAAGGGCCGATTTTAAGGCTTTTACGAGAATCTGGAACGACAATACAGCCAAAAGATGGAGCATGAAAATAAAAACAAACCAATGTAAAGGATATATGTTATCATAATATGGAACATACTCAAAATAAAAAGATAAACGGGAATGAGTTTTGCAGAAATATAAGTCAGGAGGCACCTAACGCGAGACTTCAGAAAAATTAACCCTTTCGACTCGGATGCCGCCGCTCCGGCGGCAAAGTCATTTTACCCCGTTGCGCTCGGATGCCGCCGGATTAATTTATTAGCTCATGATCCCCATAATTCTAATAAAGATCTGTGAAGAAATGATTGTTTAAACAATATAGCATGGTTTGAGTGCATTTTTTTTTAATTTTCAAAATTTTCTATTTTATTATCATAATAACTATATTTAATAGCAATATAACCACATTTTGAAAAAAATCCGATACAAAAAAAATTCCGAGTTGAGAGATAAGTATAGCACTATAATATTCCGAGCGCAGCGTACCGAAATAGCAGTCCGACTCCCGAGTGGAAAGTGTTAATACAATTCATGCTATTCTATACTTTTGTAAGTAATGTAAGATTCACTGAAAGACCATCAAGATCAGCGGGGCGGACCACTAGTTTGCAAACTCAGCAAAGCTTTTGGTTATGTTCCACATGACATCTATTCCCATATATTTGGAATACTACAGATTTAGAGTCGTAGCTTTAAAACTTTTGCAATCTTACTTCAGTATCGGATCATGATAATAAATGTTCATTCTATAAAACTGCCCAAGGAAGTATTCTTGAATCACTTCTTTTCATCATATTTGTAAATGATTTATCACCAAACATGCCACAACACAACGGAATTTGCAGAACGCAGATTTGGCGGTTACGGATGTCAGCATCGCAAATATGAAAGAAAAAATTCAGCATACTCACAAACAAGCTGAAAATAGATTTTAAATTTTTAGCTAATAAAATTGTACTGAACAATAAGAAAACAGTCCATATCAACTTCACTTCCAGTAGGAAGCATAAAGAGCTGCATGGAGGTGAGGTCTTACCTACTCTCTTACATGCTCTTTTATCTATGGGTCTTACTATGGACAGTTTGCTAATTTGGGCGAAGCACAAAAGTACGATATGCACCAAGCTCTCGAAATCAATTTATGCTATCAGAAAAGTTAGATATAAATGGGGAATGCTCCAGAGAGGCCTACTTTGTCATTTCACTCTTTGTTTTCATATGGCATATTAGAATGGAAATACTCGGTGCATATTCCAAATGCGGACCTATGGTTTCAAAATATAGAATACTAAGGGCCACAGCCTTTACATCTACCAGCAGGTGATTGCGGTTCATGCAGACTGAACAAACTATGTACTGAGAAGTGATATCCATGGCCACAACACGCGAGACAGAGGTGCTGTTCTACTTCCAATAATTCCAAAAGTTGTAGTTCTGACAAGGGAACAAGCTATGTGTCGACAATCACAACAGACTTTCTAATTTCAACTACTGTCAAAAAATATCTTGTGGAACAACCTATTTTTATTAGATCAATGAATTTAATATCTATGAATTATTAATTATTTAGTTAATCCTTGAGTTGTTAATAAATATCATTTATATTATTATAGTCATATTATAATATTATGATAAGAATAGTTATTGTATTGAAGTAAATTGTAAAATATTGAATTGAAATAGTTTATATATATATGTATAATCATTGATACATCGATATATATTGCAGGTGGTATGACAACTGCATATATGCGGGCCTTATCCGTAGTAGAATGTTATTGCTGCGATGGAAACAAATGGGTACCTGGTGTAGCAGAAATTCCCACCAAATTGTCGGGGCATGCTTCAGTTAGTTTACCACCGGCTAGTGTTTTATAATAATCATAAAAAGGTCAAAATTATTTGCTTGCAAATAAATTTGTTTGAAGACAAAAATACAGAAATAACTAGCTAATCAAGGTAATTAGAAACAATGCCAAATAGATATCATTATCATGGAAGGTCTTTCAAAATCCCAATGAATCATAATCATTTCAAATTAATTAAATTATATAAATGAATGTTTTGGAAAAATAATGAGAAAACGGTAATATTAAATACTAACATTTGTTACCAATAATATATTTTGAATAAACGAGAAAATTAATATATATATATATATATATATATATATATATATATATACATATATATATATGTATATATATATATATATATATATTTTAACACTGCAAAAAATAAACAACTTCAACTCTTTCAAAACAAAACAGCAGATAAAGTAAAAATATATATTATATTTTAGATAAATAAATATAAATTTATATATATATATATATATATATATATATATATATAGTTTGTTAAATAAATAAACTTGTTATTAGCTATAATATTTGGACGGTAATTATTAATCACTTAGGTACTCAATTTTAAAGCTCACAATTTCATTGAGATTGTGTATTTACTTCACTGGATTCCCCTAAATCAAGGCCTTTGGTTTCATAAGGTAAAAGTAAGCACGCTATACAAGCGAGGATAGCTACTCCACAATATACGCCTACTGCGGTACTTGGAGCACTCTGCAGTAATACCTACAAACAAATGTTATGAGTAGTAATAAAGTATTTTTCTATTATGTTTCAAACTTATAAAAATAAATATAAATAATGTTATGGCATTAAATTCTAAATTATTAACATTTAAATATAATCTACCACAAAAACTAGAAGTAAAAATAATGTTATGACATAAAATAAAACACTGAAGCATAGAAAAAGTACAATACTATACTATAGTATTGAAAATTTATTATCTGCAGTAGTACATGCTATAAGATCATTTTTTAAATTAATAAAATTGTAGCAATGCACTAAAAAGAGTAATAAGTCTGCACTTTCTACAAGTGTACAGTATTAGGAATACTGATACAAAAAATGCTATCAAAATGAATAGATTATCATTTTATGCCTAACTTACCTGGCAAATCTCAGATCAATATAGTTTAGAGCTTGTGCTACACAATTAAAGTGCAGAACATATAAACATTTATATTTAGAAAATAATAATAAATAAAGAATAATACATTTTACATTTAGAAAATTCTATTTTACATGCATGTGAAAAACAACTCTAAGGTATATGTTACTTTACACTAATATTGAAGTAAAACTTCTTTAGGCGCGACTAACGGTGGAAATCCGTGCAAATGCAACGGAAGTGCGTTACGGCAGATAAGGTAAGATAAGTGGGCCAAAGATTCGTTATTCGCTCTCGATGATATCATTTCTATACTGGTCGATAGTGATTAGACTTCGCGTATGTAAATAGATTTCTGTCGTTGTGTGCGTACCGAAATCAACAAAGAAATCGGCATAGATAAACATTTTAAAGTTATAACATGGTACAAATGTTGATTACATTACATTATTGTTTTTAAATATTATACATATTGCTATTATAAAATATTCGATTTAAAAAACATTCGATTCCTATTGATAGAAAGATGTGCTGATTAGTGTTTGGCAAAGGCAGGTCCAGCCGTTACGGAGATAAAGAGCAAAGAGTGCAGAAAATAGAAATCAAATTTTTGAGAGAACGTAGCATCCCGATTTGAATGATCTAAAAAACATTCAATTTTTAATGATTGGAAGAAATGGTGATTAATTTCTGGCAAAGGCAGGTTCAGCCATTTTGAAGATACCAAACTAAATGTACAAAAAATTGCAGTTTTTCAGAGAAATAAACATCCAATTTGAATAATTCAAAAAACTTTCTGCTTGTATTGACGAAACAATTGCTTTTGGAAAATAAAATTTCATTTCAATTTTTTTTCTCAGATTTTTTTTTTTGTATATCAAAAATAATTCAGATTTCAATTTTAATTCTGGTTCAAGTTCTAAAGCTCACTTATATATTTTAAATGAATAATTTTAACTTCGTAATTCAGTTTATATAATTCTTATAAATATTAGACGATATTACAAAATGTATAATAATCTATTTGAAAACATTTAATATTCCTCGAACATTTTGTTATAGTACGGGAAGTTCCATCAGTTTGCCTTAAGGCACAATGCCATACACCACTATTTATATTCGCTATTAAATTTGTATGATAATAAATATAAATAGTAAAAGTAAGGAAGTAAAAATTAATATAATTAACATACTTGTGCAACATACGGAGTTAGCATTGCTCCGAGTCGGGCGACCGCTGAACACGCGCCGACTCCAAGAGAACGGAGCGCCGTTGGATACACCTCCGGTGTATAAACGTAGGCCGCCTGAAATAGTCCGGCAATAACACCGCGGGCCACGAATAGCACGATTGTCAGGAACAAACGATCGCTCACTCGACTGACCAACATACATACGCATACCGCATAAACGATAAACTGAGCAGCCATCGTCTTCTTACGGCCGCAACGTTCAATTATGTAGATTGTGGCAAATATACCTGTAATAAAAGACAATCTTCTTATTCTTCAATTCAAATGCATGATATACAGTAATAAAAAAAATAATTACAGTGGTATATGATTCTCAGTATTGTATTTGTATAGTATTCAATTGAAATAGTCAATAAACATAGAATCAAAACTAGTCGTAAGTGATTTTTCCTTAACCTGTACCGGGTGCCCGGTGTCCATCATTTAGTAATTCTATTATTATATATTCATACACAAAATTAATGAAAAATTGTGAAATATATATCACTTATTAATATTTTTGGAGTATAAAAAGAATTACAAATCAAAGTCGCAAAGCAATAATCGATCGAAAGTACAGTGCCGTCGATCCATAGGCGCAAATTAATTTTTGAAGACCTATTCATTGCTCCTCCTCTTACACATAAATGTGTATTGCCCGGTTAAGAGATTAAAAGAAGATGCATGACATAATAATAGCCTTAAGCAATAAAAATTAAGATTCAGCTATTTAGATAAAATTTTTAACTGTATTGTAGTTTCTGTTTTCACTAAAAACTAATCAATCCAAATTGTATTAATTCAATTTGAATTATTAAACACATTTCATACTACTCCATGTTCTAAAAACGTATTTTATTCAAGTATAAATGTAAACGGTAACTTTCAACTACTTTTTGTAGGTGTATAATATTTTAGTATTATAATCTCCCATACAAAGTTTCAATAAAAACGTAAAAAAAATCAACGCGATGAACGCCTAACTTATTCAGAAAAGCGGTCCAAGATTTTTCGTGAGACGTTCAACAACAAATTATGCACTTTTTCACTAATTTGTCTCTCAAAACACAACGCAAATCCTTATCAAGTTTCATCTGTGTATGTACATGTGTGTGTACTATTTTTAATTTTAGTGTGAAACAATTCAGAATGAATTAAAATGACGCTAAAACAAAATTAATAAACCGAATTTACTGGAAAAAACATAAGGGTCTCCTTTGGAAAGACAATAATGGTTTACATTAAAATTGCTCAAATACAAAAACATTGTCTATACCTGGAAACTCAGCAAGGGTTGTCCATAACAAATCCATATAATCTGGGGTCGTAAGAGGGTGACAAGTATTGATCACTGTTTGATTATCAAATGTCATATTCCCTATGCTCGAAGAATTAAACAATATGACTTCATGCAAGGTTTTCACAGTTTCATTTAAATTAGTCATAGTAACTGGTGCAAAAAGTTCAGTTGTCATTAACACTAAACCATAATAGCAAAAAGCACATGCCATCCTAAAAAATACATTGATTGATTTATATATTGATTATATATATATATATATATATATATATATATATATAAATATAAATGTTAAATATGAATACAACATTCAGATTTTTAACAAACACTTTATTTAATAACTACAGACGTTTCGAGACCATGGTCATTTTCATGCCTCATTTTCAATGTAATTTCAAAACAGAAAAATTATATAATAATACATTATTTAATAGTTTATTCAAATTATATTTAATTCTTAAAAAACAAAAAACACCAACTATCTCTTACAATGATTGACACAGTACTAAACATGTGAATATGTACAGAAATATTTGAAAACAAATCTTAGGTGTCGAAGAAGAAGAGACAAGAATGGATATTATTACAATGTAAACAAAAAGAATGGCGCGATCGAATACTAAAATCAACTAATGTGAAAACAGATTAATTTATTGAAGAGAATAAGATAAATGAAAAAAATTATTAATTATTAATGATGTTTATATAAGAGTCGTGTAAAATATTTGTGACGGTTCTCAGATTTGCGCTATTGTTAGTCCGAACGGAGCATGGCAATGATTCTGCGATGTTCCGTTTAAATGAGTCTTTTTCATGGAATATGGATTCTCAATATCAAACTTATGGTTGTTGATATTAGCATTATCCACAAGCATACCTTTGAATTTTTATTATCTATTTTTTCGCATTGTAATTCATTAGCCAGACTTGTCAGAACTTAGATAAAGAAAACTCAGGCAACATGAATTACCATGCAAAAAAAAAAAGATAATGAAAAATTTAAAAGTACGCTTGTGTATCATGCTAATATCAGGAACCATAAGTTTGATTTTATAATCCCCAAAACTAATTCCATAAAAAAAGACTTATTTAAACAGAGCATGGCAGAATCAATGTTAATAGTTTGGACTTTTCGAATGTATTATTAGTATATAGTTTTTACTGTTAAATTAAACTGAAGACCAGATATACCATGGTCTCGAAACGTCTGTGATGATTAAATTAAAGCGTGGGTTAAAAATCTGAGTGTTGTATTGTTCATATTTAACAATTAATATTCGTTCCACTCATATCACAAAATTCTATATTATATATATATATATATATATATATATATATATACATACACACACACACATACACCCTATTCATTCATTTAATTTTTTTATATATATATATATACTAGCTGGCCCGGTAAATGCAGTCGAGCCATAAATATTTCTAGAAAAATTTTAGTATAAAATAGTAACTGATTATGAATGCAGAACTAGGTGGTAACTATGTGAAAGGGAAAACACCAACTATATGGATGGTTTACCCACTGAAATGCATGTCCCAAATATTCCTGGGACATTAATAGTCTTTGCACATGCAAGCCTAATCTGAAACTGATTTCATTTCAATTGAATTGGCACATTTGAAGATTCAAGGTGGTAATATATTATTACAGAGCTTTTCATTAATTCATTTATTTTTTACCTACAAAGCTAAATCCATACATTCATTTGTGAATTATGTTATGGCATGTTTAGCAAATCGAGTGAGGTTGCGGCAAAGTGCACAGCTTTGCCATAGATTTGTATTGTACTTTCTTTTTGTTAAAACTCTCTTTTTGCAAGCCATTCAAAAACTAAGAACTTTTGGTGCACATCAAGAAAAATATTTGTACAATAGGATAATTCTGCAAATCAGTGATTATGCAAGAATTGATAGATAACTTGATTCATCTAGTTTTATTGGTTTCAATCTTGCCATCTCCAATATATAAAAATGGTTTTAAAAATGTTTCAGCAGATCTCAAAAATTTTGATCTAAATTCAATGAAAAACTTGAACAGAAAAGACAATAATTGTTCAGTTATCGTGCTATATGAAAAATTTGATTACTAAGATGTTTATTACAGAATAGGGATTGGTTGTAGAAGAGTAAAAATTTAGGGATGTATGTGTTTTTTAATAATGAATCATAAAAAGATAAAAACTCATAATTTCCCAACATGAGATTTGGCTTAACGTCAAGGTCTGGGACACCCTATATATATTTACCAAATTGCCCATAAAAGAAGAGATGTTTGGCGCAAGTGTGGTGCTAATAATCCCATTAAACGACCTCTGTTTAAGTCATTTTTCATAACACTGCCATTACCATCTAAAACCAATCGACCTAGCAGCATTGGTCTACCATTATCTTTAGCAACCTAATAAAGAAAAGAAAAAGCACAATAAATAATAATACATAATAGTGCATTAGTTTAATATCTGAAGTTTGTAATTTCAGTTATGTAACTGAAAATTTCAAAAAATCGTCTTATTAACTATTAATTATGGTAAGTGTCAAAGCAAATTATACATTTCACAATGAAATATTATGACTTCAACCCTTATCAGTCATTAGCGTCAAAGTATTCTTGTCACGTCACAGGTGATTTCCGACCGATAAGGGTTAATGGATAAATTTTGTAAATAATAAAATATTTTTCCAACTTATTTGGTTTTGTAGTTATTTTTAAATTTCAAAATATTGATTAATAAATTCACCTGATGTAGTGTTGATAAAGCTTTCTCAGTTTGACCACAAGCAATATGATACCTAGCAGACTCCGGTAGCCACTAAAATATTTCTATTATAACTATAGGAATTAAAATTAAGTATATCATATAATTCAATTATGTACTGGAGTAACTATAGCGAATGCCAACAATGGTATTGTGGATAATCCTAAAAGCCAACGCCATCCTAGAGTGGGCATGACTGCAAGTGCCAATACGACTTCTAGGCACGCACCAAGTGCCCAAAAACACTAAAACAAATATCTTCTGATTTTAGTGATTAAATTATATTTTTTAAAAATACCACCCAGAAGCTCATCATGCAATAAAATAATTAAATCAAAATATTTGGGGTTTAAGTGTATGGTTGGGCAGCAGAACAAATATTTTTTCAATAAAAATTATTTTAAAAATTCAGCAAAAATTTAAAAAAAATCAACTAAAACTGCAAAGTGAATTAGTTATTAGTTATTATGTATTATCAAATATATCATCAGCTTAACTTTACGGAAAACTATCATTAATAAAATAATATTAAAACCAAAATTAAAAATCATTAAAATATAACTAAAAATAATTTGAACTTATGCTTTATAATATTTTAAAGTCTTTTTACTAGATATTTAGTTTTTTAAATAATGAGCAAATCAAAAATGCTCTCACAAACATGACATGAATAAAATGGAAATGATGCATTTTAAAAACATTAATGTAAACAAGAAATTATAATGATAAAAGTATAAAACATGAATGATAAACTTACATCTAAAAGAACTACACACTTAGCTCTTTGTTGAGTTGGTAGAAATTCAGCATAAAGTGTAACTCTTGAAGTAATAAAACAAAAAATCCACAGAAAGCACATTTGAAGATGCATGAAATGAAATACATGTACATTGGTGAAATCAAAATATATAAATGATTTACAAAGAAAAAAAATGAACTAAAAACAAATCCCAAAATTCTAGCTAACTCTTTCAAATATATTACTCACGATTGTGGTACACATCCAATAGCAAAGCCTACAAGACCTCTTAGTAAAAGCAACCAGAGAAAACTAGGAGCTACTGCACTCAATAGTCCATACAATAATAATAAAACAGAACATAGTGTCAAAGCCTGAAAATAAAACAAATTAAATATGAATTATTTTAAGAGTAATATTTGGAATGTATATTTGAGGTATTGTTTTAATATTAAATGAAAACGAGAAGTATTTATATAATATATTCCAAAATATTACTTGAGAATAATTATTTATAAACTATAAAATATATATAAAAAATTACATTCATTGTTTGGTTTAATAAGTACTAGAGATATTATAATGTACAAACCAGATCATATTATATAATTTAATAATCTTACTGGTTTCCTTCCATATCTATCACTAAGATGGCCCCAAAATGTTGAACTCAGCATCATTCCCATAAATACTACTGTTGTAACTAGCGCTTGCTGATATCTGTAGTAAATATATAGTTTTTTCGTAATAATAATATATATTTCAACTATCATGATAATATAATATATCTTGTATTTCAATAAATAAACATGATCTCATAAATTTTAATATTTTATACTGTTTTATATATGCAATAAAGCCATATTCTGTTAAGTAATTTTTACTTATTTTCTATATAAAATGCACAATGTTAAATTTCATTAGTACAGAGTTTGATTTTTAATTTATTTTTGAATAGTTTTGCTACAAATATTCTTGTGCCAAACAAAAGAATAGTAAAAAAAATAATTGTATACTTGGAGATTCCCCAATGGCAATGCAGAGCTGGTGCTAGCATACTCAAAATAGACATCTCCATAGAGTCTGCCATCCAGCATAATCCAGTTGCTAGCGAAAGCTTTACTTGAAACCAACCAAAACCTAACGCATTGACAGCCTGGGGTACAGTAAATGTGTCTATATAAAGAAAGATATTTTGTTAAGCTATTACTTAAAGTAGCTTGGATTATTATGATTAACCACATACCATCTGGTACAACGCTAACTGTAGTTAATTCTATTTCTTGAGCAGTAAAATGATCTGTACTGGAAATAGCAGTTGGAGAGATATTTGCAGTAGAATCATTTATATTTTCTGGATGGCTTGTGCCATCCATTTCTTCATAACCATGAGATCTACGCAAAGCCATTGTTTTTTTTTATTTATTTTTAAAAGAAAGCTGCCTCAAACGTAACAAGACCAGAACAAAACGTTATATACAAAACATTTTTAAAAAAATTTAAAGTGCAGTATAAAAATAAAATGAATATATTAAAGTAGCTCATATAAATGATATGTCATTTATTATAAAAATTAATTTTGTGGGTCACTGCACTATTAAATTGCGAATTGGTACGCTGAATTTTACACATAACGGTACGTCGCTAAAACATTGATTGAAATAAAAAGTTTAACTAGCAACTAATAAATGTAATTGTGCTTTCAACGCACTATCACACATAAAAGTTGCACAATGACATTAATATGAAAATTACTTAATGATTTAAAGAATTATTAGTATTTTACAGAAACCATTCTGTCATAACTTCTAACTGTACATACATTCTCCGCTAATTTGACATATCATTGACATCTCGTGAGCGCTCAAACTGAGAGATGGTGCCACCTGTGACTTTTATTATGCTTATTTATCTTGTATCTATGGTATTCATACTAGTGGTGTATGGCATCGTACCTTAAGGCGAATTGCTGGAGCTTCCCGTATCAAAAATTATTTTTTTTGAAAAAGATTTTTTTTTAACTTTTAAAAAATTAGGCTCGAGAAGTTTTAAATCGTTAAAATCGTAAAAATTGAGGTTTTGAAAAAAATGTTTTGTTTTATTTTGAAATATTTTGGAAATGTTGAACTTTTTTTCAAAGCAATCGTACTGCTTCAGCTGCATAGAGACGAATTATCGAAACGCGTAAAAGCGCCGCGTCGCCGTCTAACGGATAAACGATTTTACGGAACCCATAGAAATATAAACAAAATTTATTCGTTTTATTAAAATCTCTATAAAATATCTGATAATTTGATGAACATATGTCTATCATTTTTGACCGCCAAATGGCATTTTTTTTTACTATTCTTACTAAATTTCCGAAACCGCTAGACCTGCCTTCCCAAAAATTTAATCAGTTTTTGTCTATACAAGTAAAATGTTTAAAATCGGACACTCCATTCTCTTTCCGTTACCATTTTTGGGACTTTTTGCCCCGTATCTTCGCCCAGTAAACCACAAAACGTAATGAAAACGTTAATAGAACGTAACCCAGTAAACCACAAAACGTAATGAAAACGTTAATAGAACGTAACAGATTATACGTAAAACATAACGGTTACGTAACCTAAGAGGCACACAGACGTATCTATTTCCGCCTCCAAAACGTAACGGTCTGTTTAGTTACGCGAAAACATAACGGTTTCGTTTATGTAACGTTTCCAAATTGCGCGTAAACGTAACGGTTTCGTTTTTGTTAGGTTTCTAATTAACTAAATTAACGTGTAGGTGTCTTTGATGTAACTTAAAAATTTAATAAAATTTCCTGTAAATATAGAAACCATTTTTTATATTAATTTTATTTCATATTATAATTAAGAATTTACAAAATTTACATAACATATACTTAAAATTACAAAACTACAGAATATAAATTTGGATTTTAAAAATTTGATTAATCTAAAACAAAAAATAACAATTCTAACAAATTTCTATTTAACAGGATGGAATTAAATGTTTTATTTTGATTATAACATTTTAACCATTGAAAATAAGTCTTGTGTAAAATTCTTGGCCACCTTTGTTTATCAAATTGAAACCATTTCACTGCTTTCTGTTTGTAAATGTATCTAAAACAGAACCAAACAGGTTAGAAACAATTTCTACAAATTGTTTATTGATAATATTGATTTATATTTTTTGTAACATTACCTCTAAAAATATTCATTATTTTCAAGTTATTGACAGCTAGGCAGTCCTTTCAACAATACCAAAAACATATTAATTCTTCATCGAATTACACTTTAGACAATAAAGAAGATTTTAGTCTCTGAATTTTTAAATATATTTTTGCTGAAGTAAAAACAATAGAAGGTTATGATTTGGAAATATTGTGATTATTATTATAAATTGTAACAATACTTCTAATTACCTCTATTTACTTTCATTATTTATTAAGAACAAAGTGCAGCTAATTCCTTTATGAACATATTGCTCAAATATTGTCTTAATTGTTTCTTGTCAGTTCAGCCAAATTTCATCCACCGACTTTTAAATCATATTTTTGCTAAAACTAAATCATAAAAAATTAATACTAAATCATCTAATCATCTCTAACTATCATAATGGGGTATACCAATTCCATGACACATGACACGAGTGTCATCATTTAATGCTGTAAAAAATTTTATTCTTCTTCAAATCATTTTTTCGTGATGATGGTGGATTATTATTTTATATTCTAACTTTGCATTCATATTCTTTATTTGAGCAAATATCTTTATTATGTTCTGAGTCATTATATTTCTTCAATTGAAAACCATTGTATTAGTTTTTATTCCTGTTTAGCCGAACTATATTATTGTTACTGAAGGGGCTACAAATATTAAATTTGTATTTGTATATCTCATTTTACTAACCTTTTGACTCAACATTGCAATAATCATTGAGGTTATGATTTTTTTGTAGAATTTAATTATTATTTGATAAACATACATTTGATGAAAACATCTACAAATAACAAAATACGCGAATAGAATTTCCATTAAGGTCCAACTATATACTGAAAAAAAAATCATTATTATAATAATATATAAATTAAAATAATTTACACATGTTTTATATTTATACTTACCTTGATCGATTCCATTTTAAACATTTTAACTGCACATTGCATAACTAATACGTTCTACATTAATCATATAAAATATTAATCATATAAATAATGATTAAATAAATGCTTCAAAAGAATGAAATAATTTGCTTGTCAAAAGATCTTCAATATGAAGCGTCCATTAGAGCCATTAGTCATAGACAGAAAAGTAAAATATATAGAGTCACGAAAAACTTTCAATTGTATTTTCGTGCATAGAGTCTCGCATACATAAAAGAGTAGAACACGTAACCTATCTTTTTGACAGTTTTGTGAAACAGCTGTACCACACCGTCCATTTTGTATGTTAAACTTACAAAACACTGTAACTGAACGGTTACGTTATGAAGAAAACCATGCATTAACGTTTAAAGGTTACAATTAAACGTAACATTTACGTTTTATTAACGTAACCATAAAATACATAACAACGTTTCTTCTGTGCTACGTTACTTTAACTTTATGTTACGTTTGTGGTTTACTGGGAACAGATTATACGTAAAACATAACGGTTACGTAACCTAAGAGGCACACAGACGTATCTATTTCCGCCTCAAAAACGTAACGGCCTGTTTAGTTACGCGAAAACATAACGGTTTCGTTTAGGTAACGTTTCCAAATTGCGCGAAAACGTAACGGTTTCGTTTTTGTTAGGTTTCTAAATTACTAAATTAACGTGTAGGTGTCTTTGATGTAACTTAAAAATTTAATAAAATTTCCTGTAAATATAGAAACCATTTTTTATATTAATTTTATTTCATATTATAATTAAGAATTTACAAAATTTACATAACATATACTTAAAATTACAAAACTACAGAATATAAATTTGGATTTTAAAAATTTGATTAATCTAAAACAAAAAATAACAATTCTAACAAATTTCTATTTAACAGGATGGAATTAAATGTTTTATTTTGATTATAAAATTTTAACCATTGAAAATAAGTCTTGTGTAAAATCCTTGGCAACCTTTGTTTATCAAATTGAAACCATTTCACTGCTTTCTGTTTGTAAATGTATCTAAAACAGAACCAAACAGGTTAGAAACAATTTCTACAAATTGTTTATTGATAATATTGATTTAAATTTTTTGTAACATTACCTCTAAAAATATTCATTATTTTCAAGTTATTGACAGCTAGGCAGTCCTTTCAACAATACCAAAAACATATTAATTCTTCATCGAATTACACTTTAGACAATAAAGAAGATTTTAGTCTCTGAATTTTTAAATATATTTTTGCTGAAGTAAAAACAATAGAAGGTTATGATTTGGAAATATTGTGATTATTATTATAAATTGTAACAATACTTCTAATTACCTCTATTTATTTTCATTATTTATTAACAAAGTGCAGCTAATTCCTTTATGAACGTATTGCTCAAATATTGTCTTAATTGTTTCTTGTCAGTTCAGCCAAATTTCATCCACCGACTTTTAAATCATATTTTTGCTAAAACTAAATCATAAAAAATTAATACTAAATCATCTAATCATCTCTAACTATCATAATGGGGTATACCAATTCCATGACACATGACACGAGTGTCATCATTTAATGCTGTAAAAAATTTTATTCTTCTTCAAATCATTTTTTCGTGATGATGGTGGATTATTATTTTATATTCTAACTTTGCATTCATATTCTTTATTTGAGCAAATATCTTTATTATGTTCTGAGTCATTATATTTCTTCAATTGAAAACCATTGTATTAGTTTTTATTCCTGTTTAGCCGAACTATATTATTGTTACTGAAGGGGCTACAAATATTAAATTTGTATTTGTATATCTCATTTTTACTAACTTTTTGACTCAACATTGCAATAATCATTGAGGTTATGATTTTTTTGTAGAATTTAATTATTATTTGATAAACATACATTTGATGAAAACATCTACAAATAACAAAGTACGCGAATAGAATTTCCATTAAGGTCCAACTATATACTGAAAAAAAAAATCATTATTATAATAATATATAAATTAAAATAATTTACACATGTTTTATATTTATACTTACCTTGATCGATTCCATTTTAAACATTTTAACTGCACACTGCATAACTAATACGTTCTACATTAATCATATAAAATATTAATCATATAAATAATGATTAAATAAATGCTTCAAAAGAATGAAATAATTTGCTTGTCAAAAGATCTTCAATATGAAGCGTCCATTAGAGCCATTAGTCATAGACAGAAAAGTAAAATATATAGAGTCACGAATAACTTTCAATTGTATTTTCGTGCATAGAGTCTCGCATACATAAAAGAGTAGAACACGTAACCTATCTTTTTGACAGTTTTGTGAAACAGCTGTACCACACCGTCCATTTTGTATGTTAAACTTACAAAACACTGTAACTGAACGGTTACGTTATGAAGAAAACCATGCATTAACGTTTAAAGGTTACAAATAAACGTAACATTTACGTTTTATTAACGTAACCATAAAATACATAACAACGTTTCTTCTGTGCTACGTTACTTTAACTTTATGTTACGTTTGTGGTTTACTGGGCGGAATGGCTAGACCTGTCTTTGCCAAAAACTAATCAGCACGTCTCCTTATCAATACGAATTGAATGTTTTTTAAATTATTCAAATCGGTTAATCGGTGTTCCCGAAATCGTCGACGAAAATTTGTATCCG